CCTCGGAGAAAAGCTCTGGGGGTCTTTGTTTGAATCCAGCCCTTGTCTACATCCAGCCCCGTGTGAATCCTGCTCTGATCGCATGCACGGAAAATTTCAGTATAAAATATATAGTTATAAAAAAAATACTTCATGCAAAATTAAAACACCTTTCCCAGTGGGACATGGTCTTATTGTCAACCCTTCCCAACAGTGTTCAAGGAATTGTCACTCTGATGGCAGCTGGACCCCAAGGGGAGCTCTGCTGCCTCCGGCCTGGGCCGGGAATCATTGCTTTCATTCCCTTTTTTTCTGCACTACTTAGGGCTAAGAGCTGAAATAAAGCAGAGAGACTTTAATTAGCAGAATCAATCCTTTCCTGGCGGCGCTTCATGATTTCTTGGAGCTCTGACTCTCCTCTGCTTTTCTGGAATGGAAACAAAACAGGAAGTTTGGATTTGAACTTCAAGCTGTAGTTAAATTACAGTATTTAATGAATGCTGCAGGAGTAGAGCTAGTTGCAGAGGGATAGCTGGTATCAGTAAAAAGCAGATGAATTAGTGGAAACAGGGGATCTTATGGATTTGGGGCCATTTTGCTTAAAAGACACTTCAGAATTTTTAGGTGTGTTTTATTGCTGGTGTGGGTTTTGGTTGTGTTGGGTTTTTGTTGTGTTGGGTTTTGTTCATTTTTTTTCCAGCTGTATTTCTTAAATTGGCTGTTTCATGAACTATCTGACACTGCTGGTGTCCATTCACCCCCACAGCCCCCACAGCCCCCCAGTCCAGCAGGAGTTATCCAAAAAAGCACTTACCTCCAGCTGGTTTTTCTCCACCGTGATCTTGCTGTACACTCTGTTTCCCTCATCACCACACACTTTCTTCAGCTCCTCTCTGTTGAGGGAGAAGAGCTGAGCTCCAGTGAGGATGCCCAGGTGTTCCACGGTCCTGGGGAGACACAAAGTGGGGAGATGATGGTTGTGCTGCACGTGGCCTCGTGCCAGAGGTGAGGAGTGGAGGGAGGAGGGAGATGGGAGGCTGGGAGCTGCACTGGGACCATATCACAGGGCCTGGGGCTGTGCCAGGCTGCCAGCTGTGATTCCAGTGGCATGTCAGGCTGTGGGTTTAGTTCCTTAATTATTTTTCTCCAAGAAAATTTTTATAAAAGAGGAAGGGAGTGAGTTTGGGCTCTGAACATCCTGGTTATAGAGCCTGAGTTGAATAAGGTTGAAATCTAATTTGCAACACAGGCTCTGTGTAAATCCAAGTGACTTGCCCCAGGTGAGATGGTGCCAGCAGCCTCCCCTGCTCTTCTCCAGGGAAGGACGAGCATTTCTCGAGGCAATAGGGCAAATCTTACTCTTTGCTGAATGACTTGGCCTCCAGCCAGGCTTTGACTTCTTCAGTGCTGGATTCAAAGGTGAGGGGTACAAAAACTTGCTGAGGCTTTTCCACTTTGAAATTCCTGTGGGGAGGCTGAATTTTATTGTTTGTGATCTTCTTTAGCAGCTCGTCATTCAGCTCATCCATTTGGTGAATAAGTTCTGTAGAAACAAATAGGGAATGAAATCAAGTCTTCAGTCACAAATCCCATGAAATGTGTTTGTGGGGAAACTGTAAGGAAAATGGGGATGTGGCTCAGCATTTTTATTAGCTTTGTTAATACAGACCAGGAAAGTGCATACTTTTGTATTTTAGTTTTAAAGAACAAGCTTAAGCTCTCTTTTGGAGCAATAGGGTGAGCAATGACATTTGGACCTTCAGAATACCATCAGGAACAAATGTGTCCAGGGAGATCACTGTGGTTTTGGAGGCTGGAGGGCTCTGGAGGATCTCCCCTTTCCCCCCAAACAAAGAGTCTCCCTTCAGCTTTTGAAACCTCACTTTCTCTTTGGGAGAAACTGGGATTTCTGCAGTTCTTCTGCAGGATGAAGGAGAGGAGGGATCACAAAATCCCAGCCGAGGGATCTAAAAAGCTGCTTTATGGTTTCTTGCATCATGACTGGGGAGAGAACCTCACTTTCACCTGTTTTGTGAACAAATTTACAGTGGGACAAGTTGTTTCTCGTGTTTCTAAGTCATCCTATTCCTGTTGCTCCATTCAAAGGACATAAAACCCCTCAACATCCACCAGCTCCTGCTCAGGTGTGCTCAGGGGTCTAAACCTGATCTGACACTCTTTGCTCCCAGAAATGCTCTCAAGTGGTGGCAAGGCACAGGGTCCCGTTCCCTGAGGGCTGGTGTTGGGGTTTTGCTTCTGTTTGTCATTTTCTGGGTTTGAATTATTTACTTCCCTTTGGGCTGGTGAAATAAGGGAACTGCCCTGCAGACTTCACAGCAGGAGGGGAAAATCCCAGCCCCTGTGAGGCAGCAGAGGTCAGGGGGATGGACTCTGTGTTTCTGAGAACCACGTTCCCATTTTTCTGTGCCCCTGTGCTGACATTTATTTTCCTTCCATCACCCCTTGGCTGTTGCCTGATATGGAAGGACAGATCTGTGAGAATCTACAATTGAGAGTTGGGATTGAGACCTTTTCAGTCCTCTCAGCTACTTCTAGTCAGTAATTTGCTGCTCCCAGAGCTCCAGGCTTTGCTCTACAGCAGAACAGAAGTGGCAGGAAGCACAAACTGGGAGTGAGCAACACACTCGTGATGAGATGAGCTTGAAGGTCCCTTCCAGCCCAGGCCATCCTGTGATTCTATGAAAACTCCAGTGACACTTCATCCAGTGTCACTTTCCCCATGAAACTCCTGAGGACTGTGGAGAATAACTCGGTGTTATGAACAGAGTCATATCCAGCAGGGGATGAGCAGGGCACAACAGGGAGTTGTTGTCCTCCCTCCTCACTGTGGTTAAGATGGGACCGATGTGTTTGAGCTGAGGAAGTGACACAGCACAGCACAGGCAGCCTGTTCCAGCTTTGGATTGGAGCAAAGCTCCGTGTCACTGCTCAGTGACACCAGCAGGGAAAATGGAGCTGGTGCTTGCTGGTATCCTGAGCTCTCTCCTGCCCCTGGGAAGGGAACACACCTTTTCCCAGCAGTGGTCACGTACCTCCAGGATTTCATCCTTCAGCACCGAGAGCTCGTTGGCGTTTCGCGCGGTGAAATCGTAGCGGATTTTGGCAAATGTCCTGGGCACAGCCACTCCCTGGGCCTCGAAATTCCTGCAGGAGAGAAAAGCTGGAGTTTTAGTGGAGGCCCATCTGATTACAGGGCCAATGTGGGTTCACTGGTGGGACAGGAGTGGTGGTGGCCAGGAGTTTGTATGTGGAGGGGCAGGGTCCCTGAGTTCCTCTTTTGAGGAAGATTTTCAGCTCTTGTTTCAGTGAAATCTCTTTGGTCTGGGAACAAGAAGGCAAACTAAAGCTGTTGGGGTTTGATATGGGGCCTTCCTGGGGAGCTGTGAGGCAACCCCTGGAAGGGTGGAAGGAAATGCTGCTTTAGGGCCTGGAGGGGGCTGACACAGCAGGACCCAAAGGCTCCAATTGTAGCCCCCGGGAAAGATGAGGTGAAACCCTCCCCGTCCTGCCCAGTGGAAACAACTGCCCAGTGGAAACAACTGCCCCAAATGCCAGAGCAGGGAGGAACTGGGGCAAAAGGAATTGAAAATCCAAGCAGGCAGAACCCACTGGAAATCTGTGGGGTTTTCATCAGGCAATGCTGAGCTGCTGGCACAGAATTCTGCTGGTTCCCGGGAAAAGTGAGTTTGGATGTTTCTATTCTAAGATGTATTTGGGCACAGGGGAAGAGAAATGCATTCATGTGTTAGCTTGGGACACCAGAATATACGGTTTTCAAAGTTGAATTGGCTTTTTGTTTGAAGAGAGACAAAATGAATATGGTAGATTGTTGAAAATGGTGAAAAAGTGGAATGAAAGGTTCTTTTTGACCCAAACTGAAAAGTTTTGCTTTGTTTTGTTTTGTTTTGTTTCTCCAGCTGAGTGAAGTGTTACCTTTTTAATCCAAAAAACGTTTGCTGTATGAAAAAAGTCTTGCCTTGTGAAAGGACAGGTAGGAACAATTTTAATGCAATTCCCATGGATCTTTTTGCTTATGAAATGTAACCTGCACAGATACCTTATGCCATATTCACAGGGGCTCAGGTTCTGCTTCAGTTTAGGTCAAGTTGTAACTCAGGGCAATCAGTGCTTTCAGCACTGCCAGCAACTCTTTTTTTCCCTTTCTGATCTACTGGGTTTGGCCAGTGATTTGAAATCCATATACTGGGGAAGCTCAGTTCTTTGTGAACCTGTAAAACCTGGCACTGGAAAATGAGCCCATTATGCTTAGTTTAAATTCATTTTCCTGCCCTCATTAGCTGTGTTAGGTGGCCAGAAGAAGGTTGAAACCACTGATTTAGTGCTGGATACCACTGCAGTGGTTACAGGGCTGTCTTTAGCTCATGTGTTTGGGACAGCTCCTGGTCTGGTTATACCGCTTTGGAACATTTCAGTCCTAATTCCACATTGAGGGAGAGCTTGGAGGAGTCAGACTGAATCCAGCAAGCCAGGAAGGGAGTGCTGCGTTTGCCCAGCAGTGCCCTGAAGGCAGGGAGAGGGAGGAAATCCCTGTTAGGTTGGAATTCCTTCTTTTGTGGCATTTCAGAAGGTAACTGAGTCAGGAGGGAGGGGTTTGAGGCCTGTGTGCTTTGTGTGCAGTTGAACTGCGCAAAGGGACCTGAGTGGAAGGTTGTGCTCCTGCTGGGGCTTTTCAGGACACTTCTCTGTAGCCAAGAGCCGAAGTGTAAATAACTGTGGTACTGAGGGGTGGCTGTTTGTGCTAAGATGTGGTCTCCTGGCTGGAAAACTTGTTCAGGTTACTCTGAAAAGAGCAGGAGCACAGCAGGAAAAATGTCTGTCCCAGGGCTGTCATCCTGGCAAATTAACAATTCACTTGCAATTTTTTTTCTGATGTGTTACCCATAAGGAAAATTTGCTGTTGAGGGTGTGCAAGGCAGGTAAACAGGTGCAACACCTATCCCAGGAGAAGGGAGATCCTTCTTTCCTCTCCTGTGGGCTGTGGTTACACTGCTGCTGTCTGGGGAGATGCCACCTTGGTAAAAGGCACCTGATAATTTCTGTTCCAGGATTCCATCCTGCTATTTATGGTTTGTCTGTGCTGAGACAGGTGGAAATGTTTTCCTGCATGTGTTATCTGCCAGTCATTAAAAAACAGACTGCAATCTTCTCATGTAAAATAAATTCTCCTTATTTTTCCCATCCTCACTGAGAAAACTGGAATTGGAGAAGAGAAATGATCCTAATTCTTTCCCTGCTCCACACTGCATCTGTACCACTTGATGTTCCTACCAGGACCAGTGATGGGGTGAATGAGAAAAATAAGTTATTTTGCTGATATAATTGGATTTAAGGTATTTTGCTGTGGATTTGAACTCCTGCAGTAAAGCTTATAAATCTTTATAAAGACTAAAACAGAAAGCCATGGAAAAACAATCTGGCTTGAAGGTTTTTTCCCAGACTAGAGCTGGTGACAGAAAAGTGGATGGTCAGCTGAAAAGTTGACTCAAATCCCTGAAAAGTGATGTGTTGAATCATGGCAGAGGGCTCATGTGGAATTTGGGAAGAGTTTGGTGGCACTTGGAGATGTGACAATTTCAAGGTGTGAGCTCATGTAAACAAGGAAGCAGGTGGAGTCTCTAAACTCTGAACTAAAGGTACTTTGATGAAGGTTTTGTTCCATGGAGTGACTGGTGATGGAAAATGAGAGTTGGAGTTGTTAAAAGGTGAAGAGCCATCCTGGAAAAACACCTGAGGCAAAGGGTCTGAACCTGGTTGGTTCTGGGTTTGGAAGTGAACTTTCCAAGACTTCTGAAGAAAGGGGAGGGCTTTTTCCCCATTTTCTAGAATTCTGTCTCATCAGGAAGAGTTGTCTGAACCCAGTGCCCTGTCAGTTCCCTGGGGAGGAGGTGGCCAGGACTGGAATATATTGTTTTATTCAGCCTCTCATCAGTGGGTTTGCCTTTGGTTGTGTCTA